CTGTTCTCATGCCTGCTTTCGCACAACTGGTAAAAGCTTCAGCTGGGCTCCTTCAACCACACAGTGGTAACCCCCACTGATGTAGAGACCTGCCTCCCACGGTACCTCTAGCTTGCACAAATCGGCAGAAAGATTTCAGGAAGGAGTGTGTTATGGGAAGTGTCTTGAGATTGAAGTAGGGTTCATTAATTTCCCTGAATTACTTCTGGATCGCTGAGAGGGAAATTAGGCCCAGAAAGCAAGAGCTGAACGTGTCTGTAAAGCAGGCAGTTCAGCGTTGATGCTTGCATTTTCAGTACCAGCACAAGCATTTGGAGTTGATAACTTCAGAATATGAAGGTTAAAGTAAATCTTTCCTCTGATGCAGCAAAAGCTTATTTGGAAACAATGAGGTATCTCATGAGATGGACTCGAAAGGGTCCTTTCCTCTTTACCACCTCACCACTTCTCTTCCACTCCCTCCTTCCAAAGAACAAACAACAACAACAAAGCTAGTCTTTTGGTGATCCATCAGACAAAATGCTCTTTGGCCAGAGAGTTGTAGTAGAAGCAGTGGGAGCATAAAGTGTGAGGAGCAAGAAGGAGACACTGGCCTTGGACTAATTACTTGAACATGCAGGCATCCTGAGAACACCACAGATGTCCCAGGCTTGATGCCTGGAGCCCGAGGCTCCATATGTGCTTTGTGTGTATGTGCCTTTTGTTTCTTCTGACCAAATCCTCCAGTACTGGCCTTGAAGCAAGGTGGATATTTCCAGGGTGGGGGATGGGAAGAGACACAGTCCCTTCCACATTTCTCTTGTGGAGCTCGATTGAAGCATGGGTGGTGGGTTTGGGGGAGGTTGGTTGGTTTTTTAGTGCCTTGTGCTAATGAGCTCTGGTTCCAAAAAACTATGCAAAGGTGTAGTGTGTATTCTTAAGCATGGAGGATCATGCAATGACTACTATCAATCACTGATTGCCTGAAATAATTGAGTGGAGGGATGGGTAGCAGGATCAAGTGTCAGTCTCTTGGAACTGCCAAGATAACTTAGAAAATCGTACTTGTAAATAGGCACTGCCTTGCATGGTCTTTTTCTCATCTCTCTTCTTCCTGAGCTTCTGTTTCAATAGCTACTTACTTCTTTACTACCTTGTCCTACTTTGAGTCTTTTCTACCTTCTCCATTTTCTTTCAGTTATTATTTTGTTTCTTTTTAACCCCAGCTGCAGTATTTAGGAGTTTTGCAATCAACTGCAGTGGAAATGATGTTAAGATGCTACTGAATCCCATTGAATACCCCTACCATTGGCCACAAATGAACAAAGAAACGAGACCGTATGATTTCACCACTGAAATGTGTTTGAATTAATACAGGATACTGACACACAAGATTTTGGAGATGGTTGTATTAAAAATAGCAAATAGGAGGGAAAGTATATTTCCATTTATTAAGCAGAAGTCCCAGAGAAAAGGTTTTAAAGCATTTATCAAACTTTCCAGGATTCCTTGATTACGAAACACTGTGCTAGCTTGCTGGGACTCATCTACTATTCCTCTGATTGCCATATTGCTGCAAGAGGAGAATAACCCAGAGGCCCTTGTATTCATGGCAAAAAAAGATGAAAGGATACAGGAAATTAAATCTCCCCAAAATATGTACACGTGCTCTGACACTCGTATTTTTACTTCCTGTTGAACAGGCAGGTTGCAGTGTACCGGTGACTACATTCACACTTAATGGATTGTCCCTTGCACATTTGCTGCATGGTCTTGTTAAGAACACACACTGTCACCCTCACTGGGGTTTATCTTTAACCTGGAGATTTACCACACACTCGTCTGCTTTTAGCACTGGAAGAGCGCAGATTAGAAGTGTGCGCGTGTCTGTGCGTATGTTTGACACTGTGTAGGTGGTGAACAAACTGCAGGTATGATTGGCACTCCTCAAAGAACATGAGCGCACAAACACTCATCCCCGCCTCTGTGACCCTGGTTCATATTCCAGTAGCAACCCAGTTAGCCCAGCACAGCTTCACATGTGCGAGTCTCTCCTCTGAGTTCAGAGAGATACAAAAGCACCTTGCAATATGAAAAACATGTGGAAAATAAAAGGGGCTTTTTTTTTCCCTCACTCCCTTCTGCTATAGGGAGTTTGGGAGTAGGGATCTGTTACTGAATGTATAATGCAGAGTGTTTTGTTTTAAACTGGGGTTGGTGGAGAGCATTGAAAGCCTGTTCACTTCTCATCTGTTTGAGCAGTTAAAGAAGTTGGGG